AAAGTCCTGTGAAATGATGGATTGATTTTATTTTTTCATGAAAATGGCATTTATCTCAAAAACTAGCAACAGCCTTTTTAGTGGAAAGATGGTTTACAGGTCTATGTAACTTAAGTTTATCTCGAAAACAATTTTTTTTTCCTTTACTGTTATCTAAACATCCAAGAGAGTGAACAGTACATTCAGAGAGTAGAGGAGGAAAACGAGATATTTCTATGAAAATATTTCCAAACCACTAGGCACATCACATTGCATTTCACCTTGTATTGACAGAATTTTAAGATCCAAATAAAGAAGCAATTTGCAACAAAACTTAATGTTGAGAAAATAACATCAAGTTATTTAACATTTGTTAATGTTAAGAAACACAGGCAGTGATTAATGTACTTTGAACAAGATGACACATAGCAAGATGTTCTCTTAAGTGGGTATTGAGGCTGAATGATTAGTAAAATTTTAAATGCTCAAAATAAAGTGTTTATTCTTTTCTGGTCTTGTAAAGACTTATCTCAGAGAAAGATCAGGTAGAGACAAGCAAAGATACACGTCTGTCATAAATATAAATGAGTCCTCAAGGAAAACATTGGTCTAGAATTGTCATAAAGTTGTATTTGTTTTAGAGAACTTTGTAGATCAAGATCAGGTCTTTTAATGAAAAAGCAATGTTTAGGTCACCTGACTTAAATAAACTTAAAAAATCCAGGCTTACGAAATACAACTCCTGCTTGTAGCAACTGTGTGACGTTTCATATAAAAAAGGAGTGGGCAGTAACGCCATCCTCACATTAGGTATGGAAAAATGCCTCAGCTGGCATGCAATGACTCCTGCTCTTAAATTTCTCTTTTTATTTGTGTTTTTAAGAAACAGTCCTATCATCTAATGGGTGTAATGAAGTTAATGGTGCCGAATATGCTAACATCATAGAATTGGCATTTAGTGTCAATTATTCACCAAAAAAAGAAACATAAGCGGTGACTAATGTACCGCAGCATTAAATGTTGATTTGCAAAGATGACGCACCGATGAAGTAATTGTCAGATTAATCATAAAGGAAAATATTGGGATTTGAAATAAAGTTGTTGGGTGAGCGTAAACGCTGATGCTTTTAGGAGGCTTGGTCAACCACTTTTGCACTTGCCTTAAGTTCTGTGTTAGGAGATGTAAACAGAGTCCAGAGTTCATCTCTGCTTTGGGCTGCTGCATAATCTCTGCCTCCTTGCTCAGTCCCTGGGATTTATCTGGTTCCTCTACACGAGAGTTACACTAGGGTTAGAGAGACTCTGTTCTCTTCTGTTGAAATGGATACAATTTGGGTTTTGTTTTTTTTTAAAAAAACAAATCACAGGTGACAATGTCCACAGCTGTATTTCTATTCCTCTATCTTAACCTAGGGTAGGATCCTGGAGATTAAATTTAGCAGAGATGTGAAAATTGATCAGATGTTTTCTCCATTCCTTTAAGTACCACCAGAATATGAAACAACACCAAGGAACATAGGAAATAGTTCCAGGGGGTAGGTACCTTTGTTGGTTTAGGACAACATCTGGAAGTTAAGACAGCAACTCAAAGTGCCTTAATTCCCCGAGAAACTTAGTGACTGGGAATGCATGACTCAGAAGCGGGAGGAGCACAGCCAGGACTGTGTAGGGATGAGACTGCATTGCAGGGATGTGGAGCAGCCAGCCCTGTGCCAGTGTGGGAGAGGCTACTGACAAAGAAACTGTAGCCAGGGCTGAGCTGGGCTGAGATCTCTGCCATTTAACAAGCTGAGTGATTCCTTGAACTTGAATTTTCTCCTCTGAAAGTGGTGGTTGGGAAGGTTAATGAAATAAAGCAGGTCAGTCCCCCAGTGCCTGGGGCATAGTAAGTGTTCAATAAATAGCACCTATGATGATTGTTTTTGTCATTGTCCTTGTGACAAGAAAAAGGCAGCGTACAAGAGTCCACAGGGCATTTGCCCCAGACTCTGTTGTGGGAACTCTGTCCATGCACCTTAATTCTGCCAGTTCTGACAGCAAGGACTGGGCTTTTGGGGGTTTGGTTTTCTTTCCCTTTTATATGGGCCCAGTGTAGCTCAGTACACAGTAGGTTCTCCATATGTGTTGAATAAAAGAATCTCTGTTAAAAAACAATTTCCCTTATTCACACAGAAAATATTAAATGATAAATGGCATTTATCTCAAAGAAAGGAAACATGCAAAAACTTTTGTGATTATAAAACTCTTCTGTAAGGTGAATGGGTGACCATCAATCCAATGTCGAGTACCTCCTATCTTCAGTTGGTTGCTAGAAGAAGACAATATATTTCAGTTTCCTCCCTGAAGCCCTCCATAGTCTAGTTAGACATAGGAGAAACACCTAGAAAGATACACAGTGTATGCAGTCGGCACCTCTTTGTCATCTCACAGGGCTGACACACTCTTCCCACCACGGCAAGATTATTTGATACATAATATTACATACAGAAAAGATGCTAAAATGGCAGGTGGTGATTGCCAGTTGAGTTGTAGAGACGGGAGGATGTCCAGATGCATGGTGACAGGTGGGAAGAATCAAATAAGAAGTCGATTAAAATGAAATGAGCCTGTTTGTAGGTTTTCATGCACCCACAAAGCTGTGGAGATGATAAGTTGGACACACAGTACTTAGACATCTAGAAGAAAGGGGTAAAGAGATGTTAAGACGAGGGGCCTACCTTAGCTCAATCACAGCTCCCTGTGCAGCATGTTGATGTCTGCCTGCCCCTGACACACCCCGTGTTCCTGTAAGTAGCACGCAGTCTGGGGCCAGGAGGTTGAAAAGGGTCCCCATCACTCAATGTGGAGAGAAGTCATGAACGTGTAGGAAGACTAAGAATTGTGGGACAATGTAAAGGAAATGTGATTTTTTTTTTTTTTAAAGGAAAGGAACTAGTCACAGTGGTGCATGCCTGTAATCCTAGTGGCTCTGGAGGCTGAGGCAGGAGGACCACAAGTTCAAAGCCAGCCTCAGGAAAAGCGAGATGTCAAGCAACTCAGTGAGACCCTGTCTCTGAAGAAAATATAAAATAGGTCTGAGGATGGGGCTCTGTGGTCCAGTACTCCTGAGTCAATCCAGGGTACATCCCCCCAACCTCCCCAGAAAAAGAAAGGACAGGTTTTAAAAATGCATGGAAGAGAAAAATTCTCAATTGGAAAAAAAAAAATACCCAGAATAATAGTGTGCGAGAGACAGTGTGATGTTGAAAAACTCGAAGTTAAAGAAGGACAACCTGAGGATTCAGTTCAGCTTTGAAAGGCCCCTGGGATACCATAAGGTCTCTGGGCTTCATTCGCTAGAGTCTCTCACCCTTTGCTTTGCCACCCATTTCACTTTTGGGGCGAGGACCTGACTGAAGGGCAGTACACACTTGAGCAGGAAATCCATAGTGCAACGTGGTTGTCACGTCCAAAGACAAAACCTGAATAGAAATGGTGGGAAATCATGTTTCACCAGGTGATCAATAGACAGATTCCATTACTGCCACATCCCCGATCCCTGCCTACTGTGACACAGGCCTGGCCACTGTTGCTCTTTAAAGTGTCATTATCAAAAAAAAAAAAACTTAGTGTTAACAGTCACACTTCTAAGTTGTGACTAGCAGTTTCCTGGACTGTGTTTTCTCAGTTTAGTGGACAGAAAAATGGCATGAAACCTGAGTCTTTATGATCCTAAAATTATGACATCCCGCCTTCTGTTGCTACTGAAAAGACAAAAGGATCTGGCAGGCTTTTACCATCGATTAAATTAAACTTCACTAGTCATTGTAGAACTGTGCATAAGGAAAAAAAAATAGTGACGTAAAACAAAAACACTACATCTTTTTTAAAAAAAAATTTTAGTTATACATGGGTGCAGTGTCTTTATTTTGTTTATTTATTTTTACGTGGTGCTGAGAATTGAACCCAGTGCCTCACGTATGCAAGGCAAGCGCTCTGCCACTGAGCCACAACCCCAGCCCTAAAAACACGACGTCTTGACAGTACGGTGGGATGGAGCTAGACAAGTGGAGCAAGAGAAGAGTTATTGTCCACATCCGCCTTACAAAAAGTATTACCAACTGGAAAACTATAGAATCAGTGTCTGGAAACGTAGGCCCCAAAACCACTGTGAAAAGAGTGCTTTTGGGCACATGATACAGATTTATTATGTCACCTCAAAGAAAGTGTTGGGGCTGGAAGTAGAGTGGTAGAGTGCTCACCTACCATGTGTAGTAAAGAGGCCCTGTCTTCCATCTTTGGCACCTCAAAAAAAAAAAAAAAAAAAAAGGTCAGGCCAAATGAATATTATAAATATGTCACCCAAGAGAGAAGAAATTAGTTGATGATTCTATTTCTGAGTTGTTATATTTTATTTGAAACTAATTAGTAAAACTGAAAGAAGTTCTCTCCACAACTATATTCTCTTGGTTTAATTTGAAGTTTCAAAGGGGCCCTGGACTTTAAAAAAATAATAATAATAAATCCCTTTGAACAGTGACTATTCTTTTTAGTCTCAAAGCTACTCTATAACGGAAATCTACAATAACAGAATTTTCAGGACACAAAAAAATGTTGGAGGCTTTGATCTTGATTGTTTGATAAATCAATTTGAAGGAAGTCAGGAAGAGGGACGATTCTAATCTCCTGAGCACAGGTGTTCTGAAGTGACGGCTTTACGGACAGGCATCCTTTTCCTTCAGGTCTGGTGAGTCACGCGTTGGAATGCCCTGGGCTCTGAGCCCACCAGGCCGTCAGGGATGTGACAGGCAGGTTTATGTCTACATGAAGATGCAGATGAAAATCAATAATAACTGTTGTTAACGTGGCTTTTATTTTAGTTTCTCTGGAAGTAAAATATTTAGCTCCGCTGGGTGCAGGGGCACATGCCTGTAATCCCAGTGGCTTGGGAGGCTGAGGCAGGAGGATCGCAAGTTTAAAGCCAGCCTCAAGCAATGGCAAGGTACTAAGCAACTCAGTAGACCCGGTCACTAAATAAATACAAAATAGGACCGGGAATGTGGCACAGTAGTCAAGTGCCCCTGAGTTCAATCCCTGGTACAAAAAAAGTAATTCCATTTATGTTTTCTTCCAAGTATGACTGCGGAACTTATTCATGGGTCTTAAAAGAGTTTACCTAGCAATGTTCCTTTGAAGAGGTTTGAAGATGTTTGTTCAGCAGTGGTGTCAGGGTTATCAAAAATTATTCAGAAACAACACAATATGCGAGTATTATTTAGAAACTTACCAACTGGAGGCTATCTGTAATTTCCTTCCTGTAATGGCTCACCGCCACCTGCCACACCCAACCATTTCTCCCTTATTAGACACAGCTTGCCACTATTTTTCCCAGGGAAAGGTGGTTTTATTTTATTTTATTTATTTTTGTTTGGTTTCTCATTCTCTTGGACCACTTAATCTCCTGTAGATGCTCCTTCATGGCTTGACAGTAGAGATATTTGGGTACTTCCTCCTTTTCAAGATTGCATGCTGTTGGGGCCAGAGCTGTAGCTCAGTGGTAGAGCACTTGCCTAGCATGTATGAGGCACTGGGTTTGATCCTCATCACCACATAAGAATAAACAAAGATGTTATGTCCGTCTACAATGAAAAATGATTTAAAAAAAAAAAAAAAGATTGCATGCTCTTCCGAGGAAAGAATCGCCATGCCTTTATTCCGTAAATGCTGAGCACAGTCCCCTCTACATAACTGGCAACGAAGATCTGTCCGAATAAATAACTATTTCTTTTTGTATATTGCAGATCACCAGGAAGACCCTACTCTGTTCAGTAAGAGGAGCCTGGCAGGTGAATCTCCGACAGCAGGACAAGAGTATTGATGGATTTGAAGCCAGTTCCCAAAGCCGTTCAGAATCCTGGGGAAATCACTTGTTCTTCTCTGCATTTATAGGGTCAGGTTGTTTCTGATGCAGTTGAGAAAAATGCAGACCATCAAAAAGGAGCAGGCATCTCTGGACACCACCAGCCCCGGGGACAAAGGGATGGTACTCAGTTCTGCCTTAACCGAAGCCACCACGGAGGACCTGGCCACAGGTGAAGAGCTACTTCTGAACGAAGGCAGCGTGGGGAAGAACAAGTCTTCCGCCTGCCGGAGGAAACGGGAATTCATTCCCGATGAGAAGAAGGATGCCATGTACTGGGAAAAAAGGCGGAAAAACAATGAAGCGGCCAAAAGGTCCCGGGAGAAGCGCCGGCTGAATGACCTGGTTTTGGAGAACAAACTCATTGCGCTGGGGGAAGAAAACGCCACCTTGAAAGCAGAACTGCTTTCCCTGAAACTAAAGTTTGGTTTAATCAGCTCCACGGCGTATGCCCAGGAGATCCAGAAACTCAGCAGTTCTCCGGCTGTGTACTTTCAGGACTACCAGACTTCCAAGGCCACCGTGGGCTCCTTTGTGGACGAGCACGAAGCCTCCATCGTGTCCAGCAGCTGCATCTCTGTCATTAAGCACTCTCCGCAGAGCTCTCTGTCCGACGTGTCCGAGGTGTCCTCCGTGGAGCACACGCAGGAGAGTCCTGGGCAGGGCAGCTGCAGAAGCCCTGAGGACAAGTTCCACGTCATCAAGCAGGAGCCCATGGAGCTGGACAGCTATGCCAGGGAGCCCAGGGACGACCGGGGCTCCTATGCAGCCTCCATCTACCAGAACTACATGGGCAGCTCTTTCCCTGGCTACTCACACTCTCCACCTCTCCTGCAAGTCACCAGGTCCTCCAGCAACTCTCCCAGAACTTCAGAAACCGACGACGGTGTCGTGGGCAAGTCATCCGACGGGGAGGACGAGCAGCAGGTTCCCAAGGGCCCCATCCATTCTCCAGTGGAACTGAAACGTGGGCATGCGACCGTGGTGAAAGTCCCCGAGGTGAATTCCTCGGCCTTGCCGCACAAGCTTCGGATCAAGGCCAAAGCCATGCAGATCAAAGTGGAAGCCTTGGATCACGATTTCGAGACCACGCAAAAACTTTCCCCGCCCGTCGACAGGACGTCGAAAAGACACTTTGAACTTGAAAAGCCTGGTCCCCGGAGTCTGGTACATTCTTCCCTCACGCCTTTCTCAGTGCAAGTGACAAACATTCAAGATTGGTCCCTCAAATCAGAACACTGGCATCCGAAAGAACTGAGTGGCAAAACTCAGAATGGTTTCAAAACTGGAGTGGTGGAAATTAAAGACAGTGGCTACAAAGTTTCCGACGCGGAGAATTTGTACTTGAAGCAGGGGATAGCAAACTTATCTGCAGAGGTGGTCTCACTTAAGAGACTCATAGCCACACAACCCATCTCTGCTTCAGACTCCGGGTAAATTACTACTGACCAAGAGCTGGACATTTAGGAGGCTGTCATTTGCCATAGATGGATACGTTTTTGTATGATGCTGAATTTTCACTGGACCCATGTTGTCATTTCACTGTCGTGTGCACATGTTGTCTGTTGAGTGTCTTTATGTGCACAAATTATGATGAAGATGAGGTATGTCCTCACCCTTCCCTGTGTATAGTCACATAGTCCACACGCAGGCTGTACCTATCGGACATTATTTTTGTTGTTCTATTATAAAGCGTGTAAGTTGCCAGTTTCAATAAAGGATTGGTGACAACACAGACATTCTGTTCCATTGCACTTGATTTGAATGGAAAATGGAAAAACAATTTTAAGTGATCCAAGTACTTATTGAAGTTTATTTTTTAACCGATAAAATTTCCCCTTCTGAATAAGGAAAAACGGAAGTGCACATGAGCAGTTGGTTTGTTTTCTAGACTCTAACAACTTCAGAAACCTTCTAGAGAGAGAAAAAATAGCCATGAATTTTCTTTTCTGAGACTAATTTGCTAATATTCACTGTTATATCATTTTCTTTAAAATATAGTTTTTCTATGATTTTTTTTTTAAAGTAGAAAAACCAGGCTGTCTGGCACTAATCTGCCTTTAGTCATCTGCCTTTTAAGTGTGACACAGGGATGCAGATAGTTGAGTCACTGATCCAGTTTATTAGATGAAAGGCTGCTTTTAAAGAGTGGGTAATAAGGATGGAAGCATTTTTATGTTGTAAATCTTAACAGTTCTGGTGTATAAATCGTCTAGGGAATAAAAATAGTTATTTAGCTTATAACTATTTTTATTTGGTTTCCAGAATTTCAAAGAACACATCAATTACCAGAGGCCAACATATATATGTAGTATGTATAATGATTTTTTTTTTTTTTAAAGATGTGGTCATGAGCTGAGGCTATAACTCAGTGGTAGAGCTTTTTTCTTGCACATACAAAACTCTCCAACACCACAAAATAAAAGATTTATTCGTGATAACTGTAAATAATAGCTCTACATCTTCAGGCATTGGTTTAAAAGTTATATAACTTCAGGGAAAAAAAGCATCATCCCAGCTAAATTGTTCCTGATTATTTGTCCAAGATGCTCCACTGTCCTGTGGCACATGGTGTGACTGACCTCCACATGTCCTTCTGAGGCGGCGTGAGGTGGGTGTCAGTCAGGCACAGCTTTCTCAATAGGTAACTCCTGACCAAAGCCCTATTTCCACACTGACCTCTTTTCTATTCCAGAAGTGGGTAAAGGACTTGAGAAGGCAGAACAGGTGCACAGTGACTCAGTCCTCACTCTGTACCTGCACCATGTGGGGCAGCAAAATGGAGACAGGGAGAGCCCAGCAGAGCATCCCATTTCGAGGGTGGTCTTTCTGACTGCCGCTGCAAGCCAAGGCCTGATTTGGGACATGTTGTGTCTCTCGCACTTTCATATTTTGCAAAGCACGGTGCTTTGCGTTAAAGAAAGTGACGATAGCACACACACACGCCGTGCACGTTTGTCCTTTGGCCACAGCTGCCACTTTTCTCTCCTAATTCTCTGGGCTGCTAGAGCATGTGTGGCCTGGCTTGGCCCTGGGCCTCTCTCTTCAGTATTTTACCGGCAGCTGAAGGAGGCCTGAGGCTGACTCCCCTGTGAATGTTGTAAAGAATCAGGACCCGAAAGCCTTTCACAGCCCAGAATGGACGAGACGAATCAAAAAGCGTCAACTAGGACACAGGAGCAATGTAAAGTCTGGTTCCTACATTTTACAAAAGACCATCCGGGGGTCTGAGGGTGCTCAGTGTCAGAGTACTTGCTTAGCATGCACAAGGCTCTGGGTTCAATCCTCGACATAACAAGAAAAAAAATACTATGTGAATTCATGATAAGGAGAAAAACAATAAGGGGGCGGGGCACTTTTTTTTTTAAGCTTGCTGTGAGTCAAGGCACTGTGGAGAGTCGGGTTGTGTTATTGCAGGCAGGGTCCAAACCAAGTCCTCTGTCCCTAAGGGACCTGTTTGATAAAAGGTACAACAGAAAACATTGCAAAGGAGATGGGGGATTTCACATAAATTGGAGAAAGGGCTAATACAACATTTGGTAAGTTACCTAGAGAAGGGTGTGACCTTTTGAGGTCCTGAAAAGGATACTACAGATGGGTGACAGCAAGAAAGGAAAATACCGAGTTTTCAGGAAGAACTTTGTAACTCTTGGAGCAGTGCAAAAGCAAAGTGCTTACCTGGGCCATAGCACCTACCTAATTTGCAAGGGGCTGGGTTTTTTTATTTGTTTGTTTGCTTTTTCCTGGTCTTTGATTCAATACACAGGATCATGCTCTGTTACCCAGGCTACTCTCAAACTTCTGGGCTCAAATGAACCTCCTGACTCAGCCTCCCTAGTGCCGGGACTACAGATGTGCCTCTCCTGTCCAGCTGGCACCCCATTGAGTATTTAGTGACCATCTTGCATATCACACCTGGATGCCATGATTTGAACTCTCTTCTTTAGTGTCAGATGTCTTATCGTGTCAAGGATCTACCTCATCCCTGGGATGATAACTAGAAAGTCACTCCTTAAAAATAAAAGGGTTGCCATCAACCAGCCAGGAAGCAGAGAAATGCAGAATGACACAGTAACACTTTTGTTGTTGCCAATGGAGAAGTAATACTGCTTCTCCTCTCTGCCCACAGAGCCCCCGTCAAATGGCAGAAAATGTGCTTAAAACCAAGTACATCCATGACTATCCAACCACGAGAAATGGAAACCTCAGAACTCCAAAATCTCAGGGATTTCCAGAAAGGAGGCTAGGGATGTGGTTTGGTGGTAGCAGGCTGTTCAATCAGCCCTAGGTATGGTCAGCACTGAGATGAAGAAAGAAAGAATGATTAATTTCAGAAATGTGGCGACTCAGGTTGATCAAGGTAGCCAGAGAAAGCCACAGCTGGGCATGATACTAAGATGCTGCCTAAGGGCCCCAGGGCTGGAGGAGCCGGCAGGGAGTCTGGGGGTTGATGCAGACACAGCTGCAGAAACTGCCGATCAAGAAGCCAACGGGGCAACGCACCCTGATGGCCAGCCGCTCCTCCTGTGGAGTGTGGTTCCTCCTGGCCCCTGTAGCCTGCCGTGCAGTTTCCTACCCTGTGTCCAACAGTATGTCAACGGGAAGTTTTGGTGGTTAGGTTTTTTAAAAATTATTATTACTATACTCTTTTTATAAAGTAGAATGCAGTAGTCCCTGTTGATCTGCAGGGGTTTTATGTTCCAAGACTCCTGTAGATAGATGTCTGAAACCATGAACAGTACTGCCTCCTATAGAGACTATGGTTTTTCCTACACATACCTATGATGCATTTTAATTTATGAATTCAGGAAGAGTCTAGCAAACAATAATAAAGCAGAATAATTCATACGCTGTAATTTTTTTTTTTAATTCAATATTTCTGGAACTTTCCATTAATATTTTCAGATGAAGGTTGCCTGTAGGTATCTGTAATCACGGATAAAGGGAAGCTATGGTTATCCAAGAGGACAGTGTGGTGTTGCTGGGAAAGGAAGGCCAGGAAGACTTCTCTGAGGTTCTTTGGTTTGATAGGAGGCTGAGGAGTTCCAAGCCTGTGGGAGGAAAGGAGAAAATCTTTAAAAAATATCCAAAGTGGCTTTTCTCGGGAGTTAGTAAAACTGCTGTTTAAGCATCTACTTTTCATGATATGATATTTTATTTTTTTAATCTCCAAGGAGCAAGTATTCCCAGCTAACATCATGGACATCTTCCACCTCGTGTGGATATCCACACTTTTTTTTCCCTGAACTCCAATCCTTCATCCGTGGATCTTTATGTCACATTGCCATTGTGAACTACTATTTTATAGTAAAAATATTATGTTAGACTTGTTTTTAAAACTGGTAGTTATTCAGCTTGTTTTTATAAAACCAGACATCATCCTTCAAAAATGAGAATCAGCAGCACCACCCGCCTGGTTTTTAGTTTGTGTTAGGACAGGCACAGGAGCTGCTTAAGAAGCCATAAGGATGATTTGTGCCATGTCCCATTATCAGCCACTCCTGCCCCCAGAAAATGAGGCACATTTGCCACAGATGAGAAGTTGTTGGGATACTCACAACACCAGGAAGGATGAAGAAATCAGAGAAAATTTAGAATTGTGAACTACAGTCTTATTAGAAAAGTGAACTAGGATGTCTTGTGGGAAAGACGTTTGGAATATGACCAATTTGAAGATGTTAGTAATCTTGACCACAGAGGGAGTCCATATCCTGATATATACACTGATACTGGTATAGGCTGGGTCTAGTGGACACACGGAAAGAATTCAAGAACCAACAGAGATGGGACATTGTAGCAGCAGGAGCAACCCAGAAAAGAGGGGAAAGGAGGTCTTTTAACGATAGCACAGCAATTTAACAAAAGGGACATTGATAACCCTGAAGTCAACAATTCTTGTCATGTAACAAGATTTTCATAAAAAGTTATATTTTAACAGTTTTGTCATATTTCCAGTGAGAGAGAGAAGTTTCTGAGAAAGGAACTTTGAATACCTTACTGGGGGTCACAAAAAAAAAAAAAAAACAAACCTAAAAACAATGAGATCAGCAGTTGCCTGGGGAGAAAGGGAGAGAAATGGGTGGTGGTGCTGCTTGTGTGATTTTTAGGGGGCAGGGAAGGGCAGAGCTCAGGGTTACTTTTGAAAGGAGAAAAGAGGAGTCAGGGGCTGAGGCAGGACCCCACCTGGCACACGGGCCAGTGCAGCCACCCAGTGGGTAGGCACCTGCAGGACCTACTAAGACAACTGTGTGATTTGAAACTGTTTCCACTGTTGAATGGAAACAGAGGCAAAATACTTCTTCCGTTTCCTTCTCAGATTTTTAGTAAGTTCTGTTAGGCACACACATGCTTCTGTAGGTGGAGTTATACACACACACACACACACACACACACACACACCAGGAATTGAACACAGAGGTGCTTAACCAATGAGCAACATCCCCAGAGCTCTTTATTTATGTATGCATTTTTATTTTGAGACAGAGTGTCACAAAGTTGCTTAGGGCCTCACCAAGTTGCCGAGGCTGGCCTTGAACTTGCAGTCCTCTTCACAGGTTCATTTTTGTCTGTCTGCTAGACTGTATCTGGGTCCGCCGAGCCAGGCAGCATACCTGAATGCAGAAGGAGCCCAAGACCATAACCACCAAGGCTGACCCCTGAGGAGTGGCTGAGTCTGGAAGGAGACTTGGCCTTGGACAGCCCATGCTGCTAAGGCTCAGAGAATATCTTATCTAGACTG